TTAGTGTTCTCATGATCAAATTCCATTATAAGTATTATGAAGAATTATGAAGATGGAGTTATTGGTTGCCCTTTAGAAATTATAATTCTTAGAGAGAAACATCCGGGACATGTTCTCTTTTGCATTTCTAAACGTACTTTCTGTAAATTATGGGCTGCATCAATTGTGGTATTTTTCAGTACATCTCAAATCAAGTCTTCTCAGATATCTTTCCCCAAATTTTCAAATTGTAAAGTTCCATTTTTCTTCTGGACTTTTGATCAAAGCTCACTACACAGATTCGCTGTGGGATTTGAATTGGACTTCATGCAGGTCAGATAATGTTCATTTAGGAAATACCTGCAAAAAAGATAAATAATTTGTCCTCAACTGTAAGAGAGTTTCTTTGTCACTTTTGAACAACTGTATTTTTCTTTCTGTCTTTTTTCATACAGGTCTGTCTCTGCGCTTCTCTCAGTCTCTGCAGGAGTTCCAGTTTGAATGTATCGGCGATGCAGAGACTGATGATGAGATCAACATAGGTGAGCCCAAGAAATTTTGGCAACAACATCAACTGTAGAGTGGGATCAGTGTTTCCATGCTGAAGGTGAATGACCTCTTTTACAGCTCAGTCATTAAAGGAGTTCTCTCAGCTGCTGAGCACCATGGAGGAGGAGAGGAAACGCCTGGTGAGGAAGAAAATGTTGCAAACAGAGAAGAGTAAAATATGTCAAATAGGATTCTGTGGTAGTAAAAATCCCATTGTCTAAATTGTCTCAGGAAAACCAATAGTTTACACCATCCATGTGCCATCTTTTCTGACATTATTGGGATGCTAAACCGCTGCTGAGGCATTAACGACAAGTGAAAGTCTTAAATTTATAGTTTTTCTCAACAATTTTCTTTGTCTCTGACTAACCCTGAATCACTCTGTTCCCTCAACACATGTTTTATCTGGTTTCCCCTCAAGCTTGAGTCACACATTAAAGTGAAACCTTGAGTGTGTGAATGTGTGTCCAAAGTAATTCAGAAAAAAAAACGTCACTGACTCAGAGACCCTCCATTAACCAGAGTTCTTTGTGTGGGAGTTACTGGAGTCTGGCACAGTTTTTGTGAGGGCTAACCTGACTTTCATTACTGTGTGTAGCCTGAGTGTGTCTGTGTACGTTTGTAAGTGTGTGTGTGTGCCCGTGCATGTGCCTGGTCTGGTTACAGAGGAACCATGTGGAACCTATTCTGCCAATTCCCCTATGGGACTAAGCTCAGTCCTGACTGCCTGGGAAAGTCCATAAAAGGGTCCTGTGTTTCTCACTCTCTCTCTCTCACCCTCTCTCTTTTTCTCATTCTCTCGCATTTTCTCTCTTTGTCTCACCCGCCCTCTTCCCCCTCCCTCTATTTCTCAGTATTAACTCTCATTTTTACCTCTTCCTCTCCATCTCAACTTCTCAGCCTGCCCTTTTTTGATCGTGTTAAAGGGCAAATCCCCTGTACATGTCCTTGTCTGAAATACCTGCCTGTCGAGCCTGAAGGGACCGTTACACAGAGTGGACAATGCCCCTCATTCTTTGAGTTTTCAGTTTCGCCCTGCTTCTTTGTAACCTGCCTAAAAAAAGAACATACAAAGAAAGCACACTTTCTCTCAGAGCAGAACCAAACTGCAGTTTAAATTTAGTCACAGTGTAGGGCAGAGGGTAGTCATTTTAGAGTTCTGTGCTTAAAATCAGCCAGACAGTGAAAAAAAAAAGAAGAAGCTGGATGGAGATGTCACTCCAAGAGACACACAGACACATGACTGAGGAGAACACAGACCAAATACAAACACCAGAGCTCTGATCCCAGATTCTGTGCGGCCTCAGTACTGCCTCAGTCATATTCTTGCTGTTATATGACCAAACTGGACAAATGGCCTAAATGAAATGATGTTAGCTGTATCTTTACTGTTTGGTGATAATCCCATTCAACACTGTATATCTTAAATTATTCTCCTTGCTGACACGTTTTTGTTTTTTTTTTCAGATCCAGAACGCTGATGATGTGCTGATTTCTCCCCTGGAGAGGTTTCGTAAAGAGCAGATTGGTGCTGTTAAGGTAAATCAGCATGAATAAAATTGAATATAGACAGATAACAGGATGTTTAAGCGCTCCAGTTTCAAACGTAGGTCAAGCTCTCTTTGTGAGCTCTCCCCTATTACTGGGTGTCTGATGCTGTGGGTGGTAATTCCACTGGTCATTGGTTCTGTTCTGGTCCCAGCTGACCTCACAGTCAACGCTCAAAGAATCTGACCTGTTCTGATAAACGATGCATCCCAGTCCAATGTAGCAAGGTCATGGGAACGGACACAAGGAGACAGACACAGTTGAACTCTGAGACAGAGGCAGTGTAAACACTCTGGTTTACACTGGTGTCTGATTTCAGCAGCTGTCTCAAGTCTTAGAATTCACGTTGTTGATCTTTTCGGTGCTCAAAACAAGTACAAACCATGTAATGGTAGCACCCTGGACCAAGTTTAGTTGGCCCATCGAAGCAACCTGACAAAGCTGTAGAATGTAGCAGGAGCGTGTGAGACTCACTTCCTCACGCTGATGTTGTCATGAAGGAAGGGTTGTACGGTTGGAGTCTCGAGCGGCAGCTTTTCTGAGACAGAGATTCTGCCTTTAATATTTTGGCTCTACTTCTTAATTTAGATCATACATGGTCCCACTGCACTTCCTGTTAGCTTTTTTGGTCCATTAATGCTGGAATGTTTGTTTATTCCAATATCCATCTGAACTCTTACTTCTAAAAACATCAGACACAGGATGTTGCAGACTTGAGTAGAGGGGAATGTTGTGATGTCACTGTAGATTTAGGGTATTTTTGATATTTCGAGGCAGATGATGTCTCATGGCGGAGGGAATGCCCATCTTTTGGTTGGGTCACAATTTGAATCAATGGATGTGAAATTCAGTGCAGACATCTGTGGTTTCCACAACATGAGTCTCTAATTCTGGGAAGCTATCGTTTTCCCTCCTCTCCCACCACATGATTAACATCTGTAATCTTCTAGATATTTTTGGTTCTAGTCCTTTGATGTTGGTTTAAACATCAACCAAATATCATAATGATGATTAATACATCAGTAACAATTAGTACAGTATGTTGTTGAGTCACAGACAATTTGTTTCCTTCATTTCTCTGTAATGTTGCAGAGACTAGTGTTAGTGTCCTAATCTATTTTTTTTTTAATTCAATGTATCAAAAAGTTGTTTTTAAAGTTTAAAAATATGCATTTTACAACTGTATACTTTGCAGTTAAAAAGATTAAATTGTTTGATTTCAAAGACTATGACGTGATAATTTTCACACTTGATTTGATATATTTTCTCAAATGGCTCTGCATAATTAGGTTTACCAAATAGTAACATGACACTTTACTATTTTTTTTTCAAAATTAATTACATTTACTTTATTAAATAACAGTCTCTTTATAAGAGTTGCTTGATTGTCTTTTCATAGGCCACTTTCTGCTGTATGCATAAATGTAAAAATTTAATTGTTTTGGGATTGTGCAGATCCAGTAAATCTCGTGTTTTGATGTCCCCTTTTGTCTTCGTCTAAAACATATTTCTCTCTTTTTATTCTGCTGTTTTCGTCCCCCTCTCATTTCCGCCAGGAGGGAAAGAAACAGTTTGATAAGGAGACAGAGCGATACTACTCAGTTCTGGAGAAACACCTCAGCGTTTCCTCCAAAAAGAAGGAGTCTCAACTGCATGAGGTAAAGTGAAGTGTTTTTCCTCTGGCCAAACACACCTGTTTTTTTCTTCTTTGTATGACATAAGTGTGATGTGTCTGTTCTCTGTAACAGGCTGATTCACAGATGAGTAAGGACAGGCAGGTGTTTTACGATGCGTCGCTGCAGTACGTGTTCAAGATCCAGGAGGTGCAGGAGAGGAAAAAATTTGAGTTTGTGGAGCCGGTGCGTTCACACACACATGCATGTATACTCACAGTGTTTGTGTTTTATTTGCCTTAAGCGCTTTTTTTCAGAAGCCTTTCTGCAATATCAGCATTTTCCATCTTGTGATTGTAGAGAGAAGATCATAGAAAGTCAGCCATGCATTATAAACACTGTTTGGTCAGTGATAAAAATGTTGTAATGATACATATCAGTAAACCCCACTTCCTGTTGCTGTAGCAGCATTTCCTGTCCTGGGACCTCTTTCCTCCCTGACACTTTGTTGTATGTAAACACGTGTAAAAAAAAAAAAAACAACAATCAGAGTTGAAGTTTTTTTTCTACCACAGAGACTTTGTGGCTCTTTAGGCAAATGGCTGATGATTTTCTTTTGTAGTGCTGTCATTATGCTCTAAAAGCCCAGTGACCCCTCCTAACATTTTCCCTCTCCATTTCCTCCCATCCTCTCTAGCTGTTAGCCTTCCTGCAGGGTCTGTTTACGTTCTACCATGAGGGCTATGAGCTGGCCAGTGAGTTTGAGCCCTATAAGCAGCAGCTCCAGTTTAACCTGCAGAATGTAAGTGTGTGCGGTCTGAAATCTTATTCTTGCTATATTTAATACATAATAATACAGGTATTCAGTTGAGAGGCTGTTTGGGGGACTTTTCATGGAAACATTTGTGAACCCCTTAGTCCAGACGACAATGTCTGCTGTAAAATGTAAAAAAAAAAACATAGTTCTTGTGTTCAGTTCTGCTTTATTTCACACAAATCTGGTTTGTGTAACTGTTCTCTGATAAAAAAAAACTGCATGTACTTTATGTTTCTCACATTACAAACTTCCTTTCGATGTCGTTGAAATGCATATGTTTGCTATTAAGGCTCGCAATAACTTTGAGAGCACTCGTGCAGAGGTTGAGAGGCTGATGAAGAGGATCAGATCTGCAGAAGAAGACTTCAAAGCCCCCAGCTGCTTCACCATGGAGGGGTATCTGTACATACAGGAGAAACGTGAGACGTACAGAATCTCATGTCTCTTGATGTCACTTACACCGTCCAGAAAATCTAAACCCAAAATGTGTGCAATTGGTCACAGGTCCTCTGGGGAGTGTGTGGACCAGACACTACTGTACGTATGAAAAAAGCTCCAAGATGTTCACCATGAGCAACACGGAGGTCAGACAGGCCAGCAGACAGGTCAGAACACACTCATCTGTAGAGGTTTTACACACCAGCTCAGGACCTATTATTACAAAGAATGAATTTGTGTTTTAGAAATTGTACATTTTTATGTAAATGTTTAACCATGTTCTTAGCAGTGACCTATGTGTGTGTCTGTGTCAAACTCAATCATGCAAGGGATGAAAATTTAAAATGAAGTCTATGTTGTGGGCCAAATAGGGTTAACATTTATCAAACAGTCAATTGCTACATATGAGTTTGACAAATGTGCTTAAATGTAATGTAGTGGTTGTTTTTGGCACAACTCTTTTGCACAATGAAATTACATGTTTAAACACAAGACAGCACCTCACTTTTGGAGTTCTCTCATTTTACATCTTCAGATTTTAGGTTTGTAGCAGAAAATGTGTCAATTCACACCAAAATAACTGTATACCAATTTGACCTGATACAGAGCCCAGAGGCTACGTAATCCTAACCAGTCTTTAATAGCATATATCCACTGTTTCTCTTCTCAGAATGGCCTGGTGAACGGGGGACCAGAGATGTTCAGGCTGCGCTCCTGCGTCAGAAGAAAGACTGATTCCATAGACAAACGCTTCTGCTTCGACATTGAGGTGGTGGAGAGGTGAGGGGGACGTGTCCCAAGAGTGGACAGTATATAGATGCCGTCACGCTGCTGGATTGTGCGTTAGTAAAAATAACCTCTGTGTTTGCTGCAGACATGGCGTCATCACTCTGCAGGCGCTGTCTGAGGCCAACAGGAGGCTGTGGATGGAGGCGATGGATGGAAAAGAACCGGTAATGTTACAGCTACAGCACAAATACAATGTCATTCATTTAGTATTAGTACTGTAAAAGTGTAGAGGATTTAATATAGTTGCATTTAAAAATACAGTTGAATAATTTCTCTTCATTTCTGTCTCTGCAGATTTATACCCTTCCATCTTTACTTAGCAAAAAGGAAGAGAGTGAGTTATATGTTTTTTTATATATTCAGTCAATGTATTTAGTCATGAGTTTTCATCAAATATCTTGGCTACAGCACTAGACTAAAAACATGCACTTTTCATGATGCTGAGAGTTTGTTTTTTTTCCAGCTTTTCTCAATGACCCTGGTTTTAACTTTGTGAGGAAGTGCATCGAGCTGGTGGAAAGCAGAGGTATTCTTTTTTAAATTAAGTATCTATGTTTACATCCAGTTGGTTCATGTTGTTATTGTACTCTAAAACCTTACAGTGTTGGATTGGAGTTCCTAATTTTGTTTCCTTTTTTTGTATTTGTATGCTTCAAAACCCTTCTAACTGAACTTTTTTGAACCTTTGGGAACAAGTGATGTAGGACGTAAATAAAAGCATTTGTGTGTGTGTGCAGGTATCACCACCCTGGGACTGTACAGGACTGGAGGAGTCAACTCCAAAGTGCAGCGACTGATGACGAGTGTGTTTGGTGAGATGTTCATTCTTCATGGTTTATTATCAGTCATAGTTTTAAGGTTTTTTTATTTTTACTGCTGATGGATGATGAGGTGTCCACTGCTCTGCAGCATCCACAGCTCCATCTGACCTGCAGCTGGATGCCGACGCCTGGGACAGCAAGACCATCACCAGTGGCTTAAAGAATTATTTCAGGTACAACATTTTTGTTACTATTCAACAATGATGTAACTATTCAACAATGATGTTTTATTTATTATAACATTTCCTCTTTGCTTGAAGGTGTCTGGCAGAACCAGTTCTCACCTACAGACTCCATAAAGAATTCATCAAGGCAGCGAGTAAGTTCTACGTCTTCTCCAACATAAGGAGTATAGAGCAGAGAGACCCCGGCTGTATTCATAATGTGCAGCGTCTGGGATGAATTTACTGCCTCATGCAACTTTATACTGCCTGTTACGTCTGCAGAAGCAAACCCTCTCACCACGAGTCGTAAACATGTCCTTGTTTTACAGAGCACGATGACCACAAACACAGAGTGAGGGCAATTCATGCTCTGGTGCACAAACTGCCAGAGAAAAACAGAGCTATGCTGGACGTGTTAACCAACCACCTACTCAAGTATGAAACAAATTCAAACTTTTAGCCTTGTTTGTTTTACTGAAGAGTTATGTGAAACTACAAGTTTAAGCACATAGATATAAGAGAACAATATGATTGGCTGGTGATGGTGATGCTGATGTTCAATGCTCTGATTAACCAGCAGTTAATTAAACTCATGCGTTTGAGAAATGTCTTTGCTTGAGCTACGGACATTTAAAATCTTTCTGTTGATGGTACTGATCGGTATAATAAGAGTTTAAAAAAAATGTTTTTTGCAACTTTGAATTTGTTTTGGACAGTTCTTATTTACATTATTAGGTTTTTTTTTAACTGTTTAAATTTTTTTTTTTCCAGAAAGCTTGTACTACACCTTCTCAGCTGAACGTTTTGAGAAAATAATTAAATCTATATAATTTACTAAGCTTGTGGAACCTGTGGAATTGAAGTTGCGCATTTAGATATTTGCGTTTGTTGTTGTTTTCTGACACCTTTGTTTGCATGTCTCCCTGTAGGGTGTCCTCTCACAGTGACCAAAACCTTATGACTGTGTCCAACCTGGGAATGATCTTTGGACCTACACTCATGAGGTCCCAGGAAGAAACCGTTGCTGCCATGATGAACATCAAGTTCCAGAACATTGTGGTGGAGATAATCATTGAAAACCATGACAAGGTATGACTGCACCTGCTGATACACACACTCATGAATGCACGTGCTGCTTATTAACAACACTTTTGCTCTGTGTTCGTGGCAGATCTTCAACGAGGCACCAGACATGTCAGTGACTTTACTTCAGACTCCTTCGTCTCGTTCAGCTCCTCGCAGGAACAAGGCCATATGTTTGTCATCTGGAAAGAGAAGAGCTCGTCTCTACCCTCCTGCTCTCTGCCTGGCTGACAATGACAGTGAGTCTCACTGCAGCCTCCAGCCAGTCTGTCATTATTGTCATTACTGAACTAATAAGGAAACAGGAAGAGGAACAATGTCAGTTTGACCAGGTGTTTAATTATGGGATGTTATTTCCTTTTCTTCCTCCAGGTGACACGTTCAGCAGCAGCAGCTCCAGCACAACTCCAATGGGCAGCCAGGGGTCTCTGTCATCACACTCCTCTGAAAAAAACGGCTTGTCTCCCAGCTCCCCTCCATCGTCTCCGGCTGCTGACCTCAGCTCGTCTTCCACAGCACCTGCAGCTCCCTCCTGCTCCCCGTCTCCCCGCTCCTCTTGTGAGAAGAATCAGAAGCAGCCAACGGAAAAAACGCATTCCCCTCATTCCTCTTCACAGACTTCCTCCACCTCCCAGCTCCCACCAGCCCAGCAGACGTCCTCTGTGTCCTCCTCTTTGTCCTCTTTAATCTCTGCAGAGAGGACTGTGTCTGTCAAAGGAAGCTCCACTGTCTCTTTGTCGTCCGTCCAAGAGTCAAGATCTCCCTCCACATCCCCCGACTCCTCCCAGCGCACTTTGGTGCAACACGCCTCCTCTCTCAGGAACAGTCAGCCTCCTCAAAGATCTTCATCTGTCTCCTCTCTGAAGAGCATTCACTGGGTGAATGACAGAAATGCATCCAACAACTCAACACTCACAGAAACCAGAGTGACAAATTCTACCTCACCCTCTTTGCAGCACAATGCTGCTTTTAGGACAGCCTCCTCTTCCTCTTCCTCCTCTTCTTCCTTGTTTCCCTACCAGATTTCCACATGCTCCTCCCTCACTTCCCTCCACATTTCTGAAGGTGTGTTCTTTAAACTTCAGTGATAACATTTGCATCTCTGTTCTTACTGGGTCTAATTTACTGCGTTTTATTACAGATTATAAAAGTTGTCATGGATCAGTGCAGAGCCTGGTGTCACTGGACGATCATGACGCAACTCTCACCCGCAAGACTTCACACATGAGCTGTGGCTCTGATGTAACCGTAAAAAACTCTGCAGCTCCATCCAGGAACAGTTACCAGAGGCCTGGATCAGTGTGAGTGAAATGAAGAAATATCCTGATAGGCGAGGTGCATGATTTCAAAATTAAATATGTTTAGATTCTTTTTTTTTTTTGGCTTTTACAGGTTGTCAGTGAGACTACCACATCGTGAGAGCTCAGTATTCTCCTCTGCTTTGGACATATGTTCAGTCGGAAGGTAGATTTATTTTTCAACTGTGTATGTGTTCCCAAAATGATGCAGAAACCAACCAAAAGAAATTCCAAAAGCTGCTAAAGGTTAGCTGAAATATATCATTATAATTTTTTTTTTTTTGTCTCTTTTAGGGAAGCAAAGGCTCTTTACTCCTGTGAGGCAGAACACAGCCATGAACTGAGTTTTCCACAGGGGGCGCTGCTCTTAAATGGTAAGAAAATAACTCTGATAATTCAATTTTGGGGAAATTAGAGGAATCAACTTCTACGATAAAATGAAAGAAAAATAGATTTAATAATGTTCTGTTTGACATTACTTTAATCTGGTAGTCTTACATGGAACACAATGTTATTTCACAATGCAATTTGCCTTATAATATATTAAGATGCCAATTATATGCCATGCATTAGTCATTTTAAGCTCATTCTAACATAGCCACATGTAAAATAATTATAAAAAAAAAAGATTTTCATTTATGGACACGTGTCTGTGCTGAACAAAGTCACTGTATGTGTGTGTCTGCAGTGTATCCATCTGTGGAGCCGGGCTGGCTTCAGGCAACCTACAACGGTAAAACAGGTCTTGTACCTGAGAACTACATCACCTACGTCTGACAGTTGTGATGATGTCTACTCCACATCTACAGTACACACAGTAACAATGTGCTGCTGATCATACTGTAGATATTTACCATGTAACTGTGATTGAAAAGTTTGGACTTCAGGTCTCAGTGGGCTGAATCTGACTGATGTGTTCTGTGCATATCTGACTACTCTACTCTACTGAAACATGTACTGTGTTAGTTAGCAGCTCGTAGTAGGATTGAAGGTAAGCAGTTTTTTATTTTTGTTTTTAACTTGTGATCAGTATTTCTGACAGTTCATAATTTATATTTTATTAATTTCATAAAATTAATAATATTAATAATAACGTTTAAAAAATATTTTCTTGTTTCCTATGTTGAAGCAGTAGGAACTTATGCTTGCCATAGTGAAATTGTCCTACATTTGATGTCAGGTTTCATGCTGTCTTAATAAAAGGCAACTATTTTACTTTTCTGATCAGTAATGTTTTCCAGTGTAAGATTGAAAGAGGCATTTATAAATATTAACACAATAGTTCAACAAACACATTTACATTTTTCACAACCAAATATGATTTGAATGACATTTGACACAAATTATACACGTGAGGTGGAAAGTAAAGAATTATATTTCGTGAGTAAATATAATGTACTCACGTAAAATTATTACTGTAATTAAGTTGTTTTTGTGAATAGTTTGTAATTTTTAAAAATGTTTGTCCAAAAAAATTCAAAATGCTATATTTTGATGAGAAACATGCAAAAAAGATAAAATTACGAAAAACATTTTTTCGAAAATCTGACCAAAAATAATGGCTTTGCCGAAAAATTTCCAAAATATCCTGTTTCCTATATTTGATGAGAAACATGCAGAAAAGATAAAATGTGATATACATTTCTCGAAAATTTTCATCAAAATTTTTCAACATCTGACCTAAAAAATCGGTTTATTGAAATATTCCCCCAAAAAAAACTTTACAAAAAATTTCAAAAGGCTATATTTTTATGAGAAACATGCAGAAAGGATAAAATTGTGAAAAACATTTTTTCCAAAAAATTTCAACATCTGATCAAAAATTCCGAAAAAAAAATTTCCCCAAAAATTTCAAAACGCTATATTTTGATGGGAAACATGCAGAAAAGAAAAATTGAGAAAAAACCTTTCAAAAGATTTTATCAAAAGTTTCCAACATCTGACCCAAAAAATTTGTCGAAACATTCCCCAAAAAAGAATTTCCAAAACATTTCAAAAGGCTATATTTTGATGAGAAACATGCAGAAAACTTAAAATTTTGAAAATCATTTTTTCGAAAAAAACTTTTGCATTTTTTCACGATGGTAAGGCTATAGTAAGGCATGTTTTGGGTGATTTTTCAAATATTAAGATAAAATACTTTTTGGACTTTTAAACACAAAATATTCACCTGGTGGCATGTTTTAGGACACAGTGTTGCATTTTAAGGCATTTCTGGGACTTTTTTATTTTTTTGGATTTTTTCACAATGGTAAGGCTATTGTCACGTGGGTGCATCGAAATGGCAGGCAGGACCCAAATGCAGGACTGGTGCAGGTAATTTATTTCAAAACTCAAAATTCCACAAACCAGGACAGAAGTATACGCAAAGTTGAGCAGAGCACAGTAACAGATTTGCCCAGGAACAGACTAGGAACAGCTACAACAAAATGCTCGACACAATGCTGGCATGGCCAATACAGAGGACACAAAGACAGCAAACACACTCACACATATTTCACACATATTTCACACATGTTTCACACATAATCACAATAGTGAGGCGATCACACTAGGCCAGAGTGAGGGAGAGAGGTCTATATACAAAGAGCACCAGGTGACACAAGTGAGGCTTATTACAGACACACAGGTGAGTGTGATCACACAGACAACCCCAGACAGCAGACAGCAGGAAAAGGAAACAGACAGACAGACAGACAGACAGACAAACCTGACAGCTAAGTAAGGTAAGACAAAAAAAAAA